CTCTGCTATGGGAGGGATCAGGTCCTCAAGAGGCTCCTCTCTAAGCTCCTTCAGGTACAGTATGTGCTTTGATGTGGATGCTGGCTGTCACGACCCTACAGTTTTCCCCCTCACTCTGGTGTTTACCCTCAGTCCTGGACCAGCTGAACACCTTTACTAGCCAACTTGGGTTTTGCCCTCAACCCTTTCCTGTTTTCCCAGGGTTTTTGCCCACCATCTCCACTATATGATGCAGCCCTTGGCTAAGAGCCAAGACACCCCAAGCCATTTTGAGACACTTTTGGCAGCTGCTGTGTGACTCACTGCTCAAACTCCAGGGGAGCTGTGGCTATGGCACAGCTCATGCACCCTATGTGTGTGTCCCTCCTCTGGCAGGCTGAGAGCTACCATGAAATTGTCTCCTATCCCTGCTGGCCTATGGGCTACAACAAGAGCCTACTGCTGAGCAGCATCTATGACAGCCCCTGCACGGAGAAGGAGAGGCCAAGCCTTGCCCTCAACACCACTGTTATTTTGGTCGGCACCGGGAATGGGAACCTCTGTTCTCTGCATGTCAGCAAGCTCTTTGACTTCACCAACTGCTCTTTTTCCCGCTGCTCCTTTGATGGTGTTTTCCAGCCGAAGGTTTCAGGAGACTTCATTGTAAGTCCCGGCATGGAGGAGGGTGGTGACACAGCTGCTGGCTGGGCAGGTTGTCCCCAGCATATTGTGGCAGCAAAGCCAGACCCCCAGCTCTGTAACAGTGGTTGCTGGTGCCCACCACACTGGCCAGAGTGTCAGCTCATGGTGAGAGAGTTTGCTCCCAGCCTGTCCCACAGCTGCTCCTTTCCCTCCATCAGGCCTTCTCTGCCTTCTTCTACACGGTGGACTTCATCCAGACTGTGATGAGAAGACCCGTGCACCTGCCCAGCGATCTGAAGGATGCTGCAGAGACCATCTGTGCCACCAGCTGGAGTGAGGTGGGCTCCCTGCGCATTGTGGAAAGGAGGGGGCTGCTTCATGTGGGGTAGCATCCAGCTTTGAGAGAAGCCCTTGGAGGTCACTGGGCTTCCTGGCACCAATGGAGTAGGGGTAAGGCAATTGATGGTTCCCATATCGGACTGGGAGGAGGCTCAGATGGGTATGGGCAGCCTTGGCCTCACAGATGTAACCACCCTGAGCTTCAGGCCACAGACACAAACCTGGCCATGGCTGGCTTGACCCCTCTTCTTTTTCCCTCTGTGCATCCCACCCAGCTGCTCCAGAAAGCCCCCAAGCTGGAGAAGAGGCTGCCAGATTACTGCGCTGTCAGCACATTTGTGTATTTGCTCACCACCAAAGGCTACAGCTTCAACAACCACTCCTTCACCAACATTGCCTTCCAGAAGAAGGTAGGTAGCATCCCCGTTCCATTGCGATCTCTTTGGAGCTAGGCCAAAGAACCCTGCAGGAGAAATAATGCAAAATGGAAAAAGAGCCAAGCAGAACCAAGGAAGAGCTCAGTGAACAGGGGCAGGGTGGAACTCTCAGTTTTTGGAGGGATCTCCTGGGGGATGGAAACAAATGAGCTGAGCTGTCTATGAGGTGGTCCTGGGGTCAGGTCCTTCAGCCCTTCCTTAGCCCTCAAGACACCAGCCATCCCACAAAATGCTTTGCTGAGGCTTTTTGGGAAGTTACCTCAGGGCAGGATGATACTTTTGTCTGCATATGCCATGGGCTGTGCAAGGAGATCAGGACTGGCCTGAGCACACAAGGTTTACTCGCAGGGGATGAGCCCAGTTCAGCACAGGATGGTCACTGCTCTGTCCCTGGGCTGGCTGGACCTGTGGGCAAGCAGAGACTCAGGGGGCTGTGGGCTCCCCCACACTCTTCTCCCTTGGGCTGACACTGAGGCAGTTCCTGAAGGGTCTAGAGCACAAGTCTTATGAGGAATAGCTGAGGGAGCTGGTGGGGCTCAGCCTGGAGAACGGGAGGCTCAAGGGGGACCTCCTCACTCTCTACAGCACGCTGACAGGAGATTATACCCAGGTGGGGGGGTGGTCTCTTCTCACAGGTAACATGTGACAGGATGAGGAAATGGCCTGAAGTTGTGGCAGGGGAAGTTTCCGTTAGATTTTAGGAGAAATTCCTTAATGGAAAGTGTGGTCAGGCATTGGAACAGGCTGCCCACAGAAGTGGTAGTTACCATCCCTGGAGGGATTTAAAACGTGCAGATGTGGCACTTGGGGACACAGTTTAGTGGTGGCCTTGGCAGTGCTGGTGTTACAGGTTAGACTCCATGATCTTAGATGTCTTTTCCAACTTCAATGATTCCATCATTCTATGACTTTGAGGTCTCCTGAGGCCCATGCAGCTGGACTGGCTGGCTGGTGACCATGCCATGCTGTTTCCACAGGCAGGAGAAACCTCCATTGGCTGGGCCCTGGGCTACATGCTGAACCTCACCAACATGATCCCGGCAGAAAAGCCCTCCTCCCACAAAAGCATGTTGTACAACTACTGGGTCATCCTCATCCTGCTCTTTGTGGTCACCACCCTGACATCCCTGGTGACTGCCATCTGCCTGCTCCGGCACAGCAAGTCCAGCATAATCTGATGGCAGGGACAGGGTGGGCCATAGCTGCAGGACCAGCACCATCCTACCTGCTGGAGGCTCCACAGTCTGAATGCTTGGTATGTGGCAAGTGCTCAATGTCCTCCTCCAAGGCCTGACACCATCCCAGAAGGAAAGCTGTCCCCTTTTGCCCTCCCCTTGCCCTCAAGCTGCAGGAAATGAAGGACAGGAGAGGATCACTGGCCCTGTGGGAGAAGGGTTTTTCCCAGCACTACTCAGGGAGGGACCCTGGAGCAGGCTTGGGAATGGGACATTCAGAGCTAGGACATCTTTTTGCCACCAGAGCTGAGCTGAACTGGGCCAATGAGCCCAAGCAACAACAGGATTCATTCTCATGTGTATGTGTATGAATGGGGAATATTACTTACACTAGTCCTTATAGCCGACATCACTAGCCTGTCCCCAGAGCATCAGCCCTGCCTCCTGGGGAGCTCTGGGCATCACCTGAAGCCCATGGTGTCTTTCTGGCTGACACACAAACCCCACTGACCTTCCCAAAGGCAAGGTCTTGGCCTTGACCATTTGCCTCAGCTTTGGGTAAGGACTTGGCAACAACCAGATGTGGGAAGATGGCAGCTTCCAGGTCCCACTTCAACAACCAGACATGGTGCCTTCACTATCCCCATAGTTCCTATGCCAGACTTGCCTCTGCCACAGCCAGAGACTCCTGCACACCCCAGTTCCTGCAGCTCTGTGGTGCATGGCTATGCTGGCACAGAGCTGATGGGCTCCCACAATGTGGGGCTTTGCTCTGCACTGGGATTTGAGCCTGGCATCACCCCACACCAGGCAGCTAGGATGATGCACCTTCATTTCCAATTGAGTAACAGGGATGTACAAACATGAAGGTTTGGTTTTGTTTGAGTTTTTTTAATAATCTGAAATAAACCTTTGTAACCACTGCTATGGCTCAGTGGCTTGTGATCAGCAACAGGCAGTTCAGGCTGGCTGTCCCACAAGGACAGAGTCCCTCAGATACATGTCTGGCTCGAAGATCATGCCCGAAGAGCTCAGCCGTTGCAGCCCATCCAGTACTGAGACACCATCAGGGCTCTGTGCACTCTACCAGCCTGGAGGTGACCTCAAATAGACCAAGGTGGGCTGGAAGTCTCACTCCAGACCCACGTCCACCTGGAGGTGGACGAGCTCCAGCCACCCACAGTCACCAAGCTCATGTTTCCCCAGTGCTGAAGGTGCAGTCACTCACCTCACTGCCACAGCCTCCAGCAAAACAACCTGCCAGCAGCCTTCACTGACAGGGCCCAACACTGGCGCTCAAGGGCGGCAGCAAAGCAGCTCACATTTGCTGCTGCAGTCACTGGCCGTTCAGAGGCACCAGGACACACACTGTGGTTCTCGGCAGCTGCATGGGACTGGTCCCAGCCTTCAATCCTTTGGGAAGCCTCCCCCTACCTTGCACGTTCCACAAACACTGGAGAGAAGTGGCTGTAGAGAGCTGCAGTTCTCTCTGCCCTCTTTGCTCCTGCTGACTCCACCAACTCTGCTCTGTGGGTTTGCTAACTTCCCAACACCCTTCCCTGCTCCAGCTGAACTCCTGGAATGCCATGCTTTACTTAACACACCTGTTCCCTGCAGCACTTTGCTTTCAGCTTTCCACTGGCTGCTCCCCATCTCTCTGCACAGGGCAAACCTGATTCCAGGTCAGATGATGCTGTGAATCCCCAAGCCCAGTTTCCTCCCCAAGCTCTTCATCTCCTCAGCTCAGGGACTCCCTCCTGTTGTGAGGTTCAGGGCCTATCTATCACAAGGAAAAGGCACTTGTTCCTGAAGATGAAACCCTGCTCCAAGAACCCGGGCAGCTCCCAAAATTCAGGCTGAGTTTTCTCTTCAAAGAAATTCAGCTGCATCAGAGCTGGACATCCACCAAGAGCAGACAATTTACCTAGTCAAGACTTGGAGTCTGACATGGAAAACCCCCACATGGCCCACTGTGTGCATGGGATTCTACACAGTACCTTTGCCTTGCCGAGTAGTTATGGATCTGGATGGGCAATCTGGGACTAGCCAATGTCAGGTGAGCACTGCAGAGAGGGGCCCTGGGCACACGGTCACCCCTGTTGTAGAGGAACAAAACACCCCAGAGGCCACCCAGCTATGAGGCTCAACTCGGGCCTATTCAGGTAAGTATAAAAAGCCTTGCTGCTGCAGTGAAAGGACAGGGGGACTGGCTGGGATTAGGAAACATAGGGGACACAGCAACAGTTCTGCCCTCACAACTTTGCCCAAACCTGTCAATGCCTGCAGCTATCTCAGAGCAATCTAGGTGCTGACTGTGACAGCCATCACCACAGAGGGACCAAAGCAATCTGCTCCAGCATTCACTGCAGAGGTTGCCTCAGGTCAGCATTCATCACCTGCTCTTGTCCTTCACCTCATCCACAACGAGTGCCTTCAGCTCTCAACTTTTATTGTATCCGCAGTGCAATGTGCAGAGGCCATGGGACAGGCAGCAGCAATTCCTGAGGTATCTCCACCATGCTCTCACTGCAGGATCAAGTCCTCTGAGCTTTCCAGCAGTGTCACCACGCCTACCGCCCTCACAGGCAGCATGGGCAGCATCAGGTTGGACAGGCAGGAGGGAGTGAAGCAGGACATGGGCACGGAATGCTGTGCTCTGCTGGCTACTCCACCACGTCACCGTACCTGTTCCTCTTCACCAGTGCTGCGATGCTATCCCTGTCCTCTGCACGGGGGAGGTTTTCTGCAACAAGAAAGCACAAGTTCCCTGGACTTTCAAGTACCCACCCTGGTAAGTTTGCCAAGGGTAGGAAAAGAACCACAGAGCCTTGGTGAAGCACATTAAGCCTCTTCAAGTTGGCCTAGCTTTAGGAGCTCATGTGTGGGAGAGAGCAGTGAGCAGAATTGTCCAGCAGCACTTGTCTTGATGCCCCTCCAGTTCTGCCACCCTACTGAGCAGCAAATCCCTCCACACCTCAGCTGCTCTCTCCACCCCTTACCTACTCCTTCCTCTTCCAGCAAACGAGCCTTTTGTGCTGGCTTTCATGAATACCCAAAGCACACGGGGCAGGAGGCAGCAGCAAGTGCACCTAGCCCACTTCACCAGCCCTGCTGAGGAACCCACTGTGCCAGGTGCACAGAGGGATGGGAGAGGCATGAAACCAGGTAAGGAGCTCCACCCACCATGGGTGCTCCTGGCTCCCACCCCTTGGCTGCAGGGTGCCGGGATGAGATTTTGGCAATGACAGTCACCAGCTTACAAGACAGGAACAGCAAAATAATTATTGCAGCAGAGAAGAACCAGGCACGACAAGCTCAGGGAAAGCAGTAGGAAGATATGACTGTACCTGCGGGCTGACCAGTCACGGCGAGCTCCTGTGGGGACTTGCCTGTCTCCAGGTAAATCCAAAAGTTGGAACATTTCTGCGTCTCAGCTCTGGTTACCACGTAGCTTCCGAGGGACCCTGCAGCTGGGGCGGCCGAAGTGCTCCTGGGAGCGCCAGCAGCACCTGCCAGCTGCCGCCAACCCTCCTGAGCCCTGGGGGCCGGGGCACAGGGAGGTGCCTGGAGCCAGAGACGAACCCTCATAACAATGGCAAACACCCCACTACCGCTCGGGCTGGGTACTTACCGGCAGCCAGCAGCAGGCTCCACTGCGGGCTGTACGGCAGCTTCTGCCGCGCCAGCTTCTGCACTGCGAAGGCGGCCCCGCTGCCTGCAGAGAC